TTTTTTTTTTTTTTTGTTTTTTTGGTGGTTTTGCCTGTTGGCTACCTGTGTCCCCGCTGTCAATTAAACCGGGTGTTAATTAGACATGTGCATGTGGGCAACAGTGTTACCTGCTCGGCACTGCCGGGTGTAATTTGAGTGTGCTGCGGCTCGGGCAAAGGGGAGCAAGGATCCTCTCCTGTGCGGGACCGCTTCGCCAGAGACAGTCCCCGCCTGGGCAGTTTGGCGCGGCGTGTGTGCGTGTCCTCTGCTTTTCAAGGTAATGAATTAAGCCCTAAGAATTGTTTTAAAAGGAGAAAGGGAATAAATAGCTCTCTCTGTTTTTTTCCTTCAAGGGACTGCAAATACAGGTCCTGGGTGCTGCGGTAAAGGGAGGCACAGTCTCGGCGTAGGTTTGGGCTTGCAACTGGGCTTCCCCGGGTTCCTGTGTCCGTGCTGGACATTTGCCCCCAGATCCTCCTCCCCTTGTCTGGCCCTGTTGGGGCAGAGGGGAGATGCTGCTGCAGGGCTGGCAAGAGCAGCCGGCCCCCTGCCTGCCCTGGCTTGGAGGAGGCAAGCATGACTCCTGCTCTGCTTTTCTTTTGCGTGTGTAGGTGCTGCGGGCGAGCCGTTTGCGACCGTGTTGGCGGTCGCCTCATTTGGGGATATTTGAATGCCGACCCCCGCGCACACACGTCCAAACGCTCCCCCCGCAAGCCAAGCAGAAGCCGAGCGGAAAAAACAAGTGGTCCCTGCCCAGCACTTGGAGTTGCCCGTGATCCCCGGAAGTGGAGGGACAGACGGAGCAGACAGATCCTCTTTGAAGAAAGGAGCGAAGTGTAAATAGCTCGGTGATTGATGTGCTGCCTTTGACTGCGGAGAAAGCACTATTTGAATTCAAGTGGCCAGGTCAGATGGTCACGGAAGAAGGTTGAAAGGTAGGATTTAATGAGATTAATATGGAGAGGGCGCGAGAGCCAGGCTTCCCCAGCGCTCCCGCCTGGGACCCGGGCAGGGCCAGGGCCGCCGCGGGCACCGGCGGGGCACCCCCGTGTCGGGACGCCGCGCGGGGGGCACCCGCACACACACAGGCCGCGCGAGCTGGGTGCCCCGGCGCCCTGCTGGGAGCCGTCCTGCCCCTGCTCTCCTGCCCAGCAGGTGGAAGGAGGGGGGACGATTCCTGCTAATTACTGCCTTCCCCCCGCCTTGCTCCGCTCCTTAATTGCAGACTGGAGCAGGGCCCTCGGAGGGGCTCTTAGAGGCTCGCAATAACTGGAGGGTGAGAAGGGGGTGGGGAAAGAGCTCGAAAATCAACGAAATGGGTTTTAGGGAAACTTCCAGCCACGTGTCGCCTCAAACGTGGAGATGCGGAGCGCAGATCCCCCCCCTCGGAAAGCCTTTTGGTAGCCGGGGAGCGCGCGGCCCCGGGGGGCTGAAAACCGAGGGGGTTGCCTCTCCCGGAGGTTTCCACGCAACTGAAATGTTCCTGACAACGATCTTGGAGCCGGGGTATCTCCCGCGTCCCTAAAGTGGGCTGGAAACGGGAGCCCCAGAGCTTGGCTTTAAAAGCAAACACGTTCTCGTTCATTTCTCGCCCGTCGTCTTGTATAAACTGTTCGATGGGTTTGCAGAAAAGACGTGCAAAAAAAAACAAAATTGAAAAAAAAAAAATCAAATTTGTGGGTTGACTTTCCCAAACGGCATTTAAAAAAAAAAACAAACCCCACGGCGATTAACAAAAATACGTTGTTTTCCAGGCCAGTGAGCCAGGAACCAGGGTCGAAGGGTGAGCGGCTTTGCACCATGCGGTGGGGAAAACCATGTTCTTGCTCATGGCGCCCCAGTGCTGGGCTTGTTGCCCCCGACCATCCCTTTCCTGTTTCTCTCCCTCTCCAGAGCACGGTGTAGGCAGACGGCTCTGGCTCGGGACCCCGCGGAAGGTGCATCTGGGCAGGATCGGAGCCCCGCAGAGCCCGTCGGGGAGAGCCCCGGTGTCAGCGCCGTGCTGCACTCAGGTGCGTGTGCGCCTCACCTGCGGGGACAGGGAGGCAATGCTAAGATTTGTGCATATCCATCCTCCTTGCCTTGGCCCCGGCCCCGGCCCCGGCCCCGGCCAGCGCCTCTCCATAGCATGTCCCGGAGACCAGCTCGCTGCCCAAAATAGAAAGTAAGAAACGTCCCCGAAAGGAGCCGCGTGCTGCGGGCGAGCCGGCCCCGGGCACCGCTCCCCTCTCGCCCGGCATCCAGCCCAGAAGGACCCGCACGTCTATGCTCTTCCCAAGGATTTCTTTTCTTGTGATTTGTCACATCGGAGTTTTGCAAATCACAGCAAGGAAACGCGGTTCCAAACAAAGCCAAGGAGTCGCCGGGCTCTCGATCGAGCAGGGGCGAAGAGCCTGCAAACACGCAGCCTTGGCTCCGCTTGGAAATGGTTTCCCTTGCTGCAATTCATGCAGTAAATGTACAGGATGGATCGGTGTAAATGTTATAACGGGGATCGAAGAGGTTTCTCCCTTGCACTCGCCCCCCCACTCCTCCCGTTGCCGTCTGATCTGCACTGCGCTGCGGAGAGGGCCCTAGCCCGCGTGCCCCGCACACACGCGCTTTCCCCTGCGAAAAGCCCTGGTGGCGGCGCGTCGGCGCTCGGGGTTTCATTCATTTATTTATTTCCAGGGAAGGAAAAAAAAATATTAATAATAAAAAGCCCGGAACGAATCTCCGACTCGATTTGTGGTTTCCTGCCAAGGGGAGGGGGGAGGAACGGGAAAGGGCTGCAAACGCCAACGAGATCTTCTCCGCCCCGGCTCGGAGCGCGCCTCCAGCCTTCCCGCTTCCCCGCCTGCACGTGTGTGCGTCTGCCCCCAAACCCGCACTAAATGCTTCTGTTCCGCATCTCCCGGGTCCCTGCCCGCAGGCTCCCGCGCGAGCTCCGTGCGTGGGTCCGGCCCCTCCCCTCCCCAGGGGTCTGCCCCGAGGGCTCGGGGGGGGGGTGC